CGTGCAGGAGGCAGCCAATCAATGATTCTCTCTCATCATGGATGTTTTTTTTTTCTCTCTCTCTCCCTCTCTCCTCTCTATAAAAAATCAATAAAATATATTTAATAAAAAAATAAAAAAGTAAAATGATACTTTGTATTAATAGTTAATGTGATTCTGTTTGTAACAACAGTGCATTTTACAGAGTAAAATAATGCTGATGGTCTATAAGAGTTGTTCTGCTTTGGGGAAAATAGGATTTGAATGTTAGTATTTTATATAACTTCTTTTTTGCTATATTTTAAAAACAGTTTTCTTGTTGACTTTTGGAAGAAAATCACTTCTAATAAAGCACATGTTTTCCTTTGTATATCAATCAGAAGCTATAAGATTTATTATACCATACTATTTTATTTTTATTTTTTTAATTTTTTTTTATTGATTTAAGAGAGGGAGAGGAAGAGAGAGATAGAAACATCAATGATGAGAGAATCATTGATTGCCCCCCCCCCCCCCACAGGATCAAACCCACAACCCAGGCCTGTGCCCTTGACCAGAATCTAATTTGGGACCCTTCAGTCCACAGGCCGACGCTCTATCCACTGAGCCAAACCAGCTAGGGCTATACCATACTGTTTTAAATGATAATAGTTGTAGACATAATTAAGTAACCAAATATAGACATCCTAAGGAGAGAGTTACCTTGTAGTTTAAGAAAGGGAGATGTTCAGATCTCTCTTTTACTAATTTCTGAGTGATAAAGGGTGCTAAATTTGGCCATTTAATTTAATATTTTTTTCCATTTAAAATTTTGTTTTTAGGGAAAGTGCTAGCTACAGTGTTTTCAAATATTAGAGAATCAGTTGTCTTTAATAGCCAGTAGCAAAATGTTAATAGCTCATATATAGATATTAAAATGTATTATTTTGAAAGCAATGCAATATTTAAGAATTAAAGTAGCCTGATTTCTTGTGATTTTAATTTATAGAAGTAAATATCTAAATCACGAATTGCCAAAGCTTCAAAACTCTGAATTGTATGTTGTTAAATAATAATTTGATTCCATGAATCTTTCAATTATGAAAATGCCTGGGGTTTCCCTCATACTAAATATGACATTTTATTTTCTTAAAGCATAATAACTTGAGTTAATAACCCCTTTGATAAAACTTCCATGAAAGGCCAAATGAGTTATATTCTCACGACAAACCATTATTACATTATTTCTCCTGAAATGTCACTCACCTGTTTCACTTACATTTCTGTTATATATCCTAAAAATTATTTTGGTTTTCTACTTGACTCTTTTTAGACTCTACTTAATTTTAAGAAGTTCACTTAAATTATGCTTTTAATACTAGCAATATAGTTTGATGTTAATTTTAGTTGTGATAATTTGTAATATTTGCAGAATTAATGTCATAAGAGACTGACTTTTAATTAATTTAAAGGAAATTAAAATCTATACACTATTGTAAAGCATACAAGTGTGGATTATGTGAAATTACAATCCACACAATGGGATAAGATATTTATAAATCATGTATTGGATAAGGGATTAATATCCAGAATATATAAAGAGCTTCCTACAACTCATCAACAACTATCCCAAACAACCGAATTAAAAATGGGCAAAGGACTTCAATAGTTATTTTTCCAAATAAGATGTACAAATGGCTGAGAAGTACATGAAATGATGCTATATATATAACATTATTAGTTATTAGAGAAATGCAAATCAAAACCATGAGATACATTTTACACCTGATAGGATGACTACTATAAGAAGAATAAGAAAAAGAAAAGTATCAAGTATTGGAATGGATGTGGATAAATTAGAACCTGGTGCATTGCTAGTGGGAATGTAAAATGTTGCAGCTGCTGTGCAAAAAGCAGCGTGGCAGTTCCTCATAGTAAAACATAGATTCACCATATGATCCAGCAATTCCACTTCTAGGTATATACCCAAAATAATTGAACAAAGTGTGATGTGATGTGATGTGATGTGATGTGATGTGGTGTGTGTGTATACATATGCACAATGGAATATAATTTAGTCTTAAAAAGTAAGCAAATTCTGACAGGTTACACCATGAATGAATCCTGAAGACATCATGCTTAGCAGTGAAATATGCTAGATACAAAAGGATAAATACTATATAATTCCACTTAGAGATACCTAGAGTAGTCAGATTTATAGAGGCAGAAGGTAGAATGGTTACCAGGGGCTGGGAGAAGAGAGAATTCATAATTATTTTGTTTTTCTTTTTTTTTAAATTGTTTTTTATTGATTTCAGAGAGGAAGGCGAGAGAGAGAGAGAGAGAGAAGCATCAATAATGAGAATCATTGATTGGCTGCCTTCTTCACGCAGGATCCAGCCCACAACCTGGGCATGTGCCCTGACTGGGAATCGAATCATGACCTCTTGGTTCATAGGTTGATGCTCAACCACTGAGCTCCGCCTACTAGGCTACATAGTTATTTTGAATGGTACAGAGTTTCTCTTTCTATTTAGGATGATGAAAACTCTTAGAATTAGAGAATGGTGATGGTTGCACAACATTGTAATTATATTAATGGCACTGAATTGCACTCTTATAAATAGAGAGCAGTAACATACTTTTGTCTCTAAAAAATTCATGGGTCCAAGTGCCACACTTGAGAGATTGATTCAGTGGACATGGCTCAAGCATCTGTATTTTTGTATGCCCTGCAGGTGATTTTGGTGTACTCTCAGCTTGAGAATCACTGCTGTAAATGATGCTCAACCTCACTGGCCATCAGGGAAATGTAAATCAAAACCACAATGAGATACTGCTTCATTACTCACTGGGATGGCTATAATATTAAAAATGGAAAATAATAAGTGTGAGGTGTAGAGATATTGAAACCCTTATGTGTTGCTGGTTTGGAATGTCAAATAGTGTAACTGATCTAAAACACAATTTGGCAGTTCCTTGAAAAGTTAAGTATGGAGTTACCATATGATCCAGTAATTACACTTGTAGGTATATACCCAATAGAAATGAAAACATGCTTGCACACAAAGATTTGGACATGAGTGTTCATAGCAGCATTATTCTTTATAGTCAAGACCTAGAAATAACCTATATGTTCATTAAGATGGATAAACTAAGGTAGTATATGCATGTAATAGAACATTGTTTGGCAATCAAAAGGAACAAATTGCTGATACATGCTACAATATGGATCAACCTAGAAAACATACATTAAGTTGAAGCTGGTCAGAAATGACATAAGTTGTTTCATTTCATATGTATGAAATATCCAGAGTGGACAAATAGTTTGAGTAGGATAGGAGTTAGTTCTTCTTTGAATGGTTATTAAAATTCACCTGTGAAGCCATCTGGTGCAGGACTTTTGTTTGCTGGGAGTTTTTTTTTTTATTACTGCTTCGATTTCATTAGTTGCAATTGGTCTATTCAGGTTTTTGATTCTTCCTGATTCAGTTTTAGAAAATTGTATGTTTGTAGGGATTTGTCCATTTCACCCAGGTTGTCCAACTTGTTGGCATATAGTTGTTCATAGTATTTTCTTACAATCCTTTGTATGTATGTGATGTCAGTTGTTACTTCTCCTATATCATATCTGATTTTATTTATTTGGGTCCTTCTTCTTTGTTTTTGATGAGTCTGGCTAATGGTTCATCAATCTAGTTTAGCTTTTCAAAGAACCAGGTCTTGGTTTCATTGATCTATTGTATTGTGTTTTAGTCTTTATGTAATGTATTTCTTCTCTGATCTTAATTATTTCCTTCCATCTTCTTACTCTTGGCTTTGTTTGTTCTTTTCTTAGTTCTTTTAGGTATGGGGTTAGATTGT